AGGGGCTCCTGGCCTTACTAGTAGTAACAAGAAGCTAGTAGAAACAACAAGTCCGGGTCCTGTCCAATCGCCGGTCAACCCACCCGTGACCCACTTCTCTCCGCCGTGACACCGCTTCTTCATGGGCTCGGGTCTCAGAGCGTCGCCGCTTGGCCTAAACCAGCGCCGTTTCCGAAAAGGTGGGGCCCGTGGTAGGGACATTCAATCCATTTGACTGGACACCATCAATGGGACTGGTATATGTTAGTATGTTAGTATATAGAAAATATTTGATGTGACATCTTCCAGTGCGAGCAAGGTCCAGATCCAGCAGGAGGTATCTTTCACGAACTCGAACTGCTTAAAGAAACTCTTGATTAGTAGTAGGATACTCTAAAAACAGTACTTTTCTGATCTTTTTTGTGGCTTCGGTGCACAACTCAGAGCAGCAAGCTCTCTTCGTTATGTATTTTTTTACCAAAGGTATTGGCAGGCCTCATTGTCCTGCAAGAACTTGTTGAATTTCACCAACTGGTTCTGCAGCTGAAGATCCTGCGACCACTTGGAACTGACTCACAGCCAGCGGAAGGATCCTCAACAATTGGCCATCGTAGTACTGCGAAGTTCACTCACGCACTCAACTGGTTCGCAATGTACAGGTCTACAGTCAAGACTTTCCACTTCATCAAGCTTCATCATTTCTCCCAAGGCACTCGGCCATTGGATTGGATGGTCGGTCCTTTACTCGCAGCTGTTCCTCCTTTTTCCGGAACTGCTCTTCCTCCTTGGCAAAGCGCGCCTGGATCAGAGCAGGTGCAGAGACTGAGGTGTTTCACCCTTCACAAATGAGCACAAGTACCCCAAAAATCAACCCTAGCGCCTAGCACAAGGGCCGCCCTGAAAAGGTATTCGCACTGTGGTAATATTTGTATACTTTCAAGAAATCACTGCCGCAGGCGAGCGTGGGCGTGAAGGGATGTTAAGGGTATGGTCTCATCAACCTTCATCCACCTCTGACAGTTGAATACAAATGCCCCTAACAACTCCTATGAACCAACCCTTACAATCCTTACCTCACGATTGGTGTTCTATCACAGGACCCCCACCCAGAGGACGTGCCACCAAACACCTCTCACATCGGCAACCTCCCAGGCCGGCGCAGTCGTGAAAAGTGCTGAAATCCGCCTTCTGGTTCTCTAAAGCATCCTGCACCTCATACCTGCTATTCAGGTGGCTGATGAAGCACATGACTCCAAGAATGGCTCAAGCAATCAAGACTACTATAGTCAGCAACAAATGTTGTTTGTTTTGGGTGGACACTCAGGGGAGACTGTGTTCCAACAAGTGGGGGTTGGCTCGACAGGGTATTTCCGTGTCGTAGCTTCCCCGTCGTCTGGTTTCACCAGCAGAAAGGCTTGGGGGCCGCACATTTGCCGGCGCTTCTCCAGAAGCCGCGTTGCAGGGTTGACATTGTCAAAGAAAAGCTGCTGCCTTGGGAAGCAGTGATGGGGTGCTTATCTGTTCAGCCAAAACGGGGAAGCAACTCAGTCGTCTCCTTGTGTGATCTAAGAAGCGAACGGATGCTTGGGGATGGTACCTGCGCTATGCAGCCGTGGGGAGGTCAGCATACCTGGTAGGGTTTCCCTTCAGCCTCCAGTAACTGCATTGAAGTAACCTGGAGACTTACTTCTAAGAAGCTGCTCAAGGGGCCTCTGTCGCCATCCAGCCCAGTTGCCATGGGCCTTCGTGTCAGCTTGTCTGCACAAAGCACACACTCCCAAACAACCTCAAACACCAATCTTTTTCATATCCCGAGGTGAGTGAAGCAAATAGCACGCCATCTCAGCATCTTTACAACTACAAAAAACATCAAAAGAATCCTCTGTATATAAACCGGAATATAAGTATAAAATAGTAAGTGTCAGTATATCTATCTGTCTATCTTTGTAGTATATCCTGCATCCGATCTTATCCTGGGGAGACCCATCCGTCCGACCGCAGAGCCTGTCGGCCTCACGGGCCGGAGGCCGAAACCCGGTCGTTTCCACCGCTTCTGAGCCAGTCCGCCGTCCGCCGTCGGCCAAGGTGAGCTGCTTCACATGACATGCCGAGGTGAGCTGCCCCAGGCCCGAGCTGAAAACCACCGGCTCTGTGGCCTGAAATGGCCTGGACACCTCAAAACCAGAGGTGAAAAATGGAGGGGAGCCCTGTTGAAAAAAACATGCACAAGCTGGGATGTGGCCCCGCAATCTCCATCATCATTGATCATAGCCGTGCTACAAGTATATATACTGTATTATTATATGTTGTGCTATAGAAACATTACAGGAAATCCAAATAAATCCAACACTTCTTTGAATACAATTATCCAAAGGATAGTTCTTACCTCGCTCTTGACGGACAAACATACATGTTCTGAGACCACCAAGCCCAGGAGTGCAGGGAGACATCTTCTTTCGCCAACCAGCTCTGGTCAGCGGTTAGCACAAGTGCTTGGCTTCATTAGCAGCGCATGCGGACGCCTCATCGATGCAAGAAAGATCAAATTGTCAAAGTATGTCAAAGTCTTCCAGCTGACTTAAAACTAGAGTGTATTTCACACCCAACATCACCCAACCACACAGTTGCTGATGGGGGCCTTTACCAATTCCCACAGTGACCAAAGTGTGTTCCTTTCAACCGCCGCCACCGAACACCTTCGGCGCCAGCGCGGTGCTGGGCGTCCCCCAGGCGGGACTCTCTCCACCTGGCGAAGAAGCGGACACCGGGCCAAAGTGCCTCAAGCTGGAGAAACCTCTGAAATCTACTGGGAGTGCCATGTTCATTCTCTTCAAACGCAGCACCATCATCCAATGACTGGGAGTCACTGGTCACCCTTTTTGCCGACCCTGCAAAGCGCTGGGGCTGGTGATTGGTCTGATTGGTGCCTCTCCAATGCGGATCAAGAATGCCGGCATGGACAGGGCTTGCAACTTTGGGCAATCTTAAATCAACTGCTGATGCATCCCCCCCTCACATGTCTCGAAAACTGGAAAACATGTGCAAATTTGCCGGAGGCACGGCAATTCGCCATCAAAGAGAGTCCGGAAGTCATCGTTGCCTCAGTATGAACAAGCCATGCTGAAGTCTTATTGGGCAAATGAGGATTGTCAAAATGGCTGTATCAAACTGACAAACCCTCTTTGACATTCTTTGACCAAACATGGCCATGTGATGTGATGCTGATTCAACAATCAACGTTTCCATGGGTTCCCTGACATGCCAAACAGAACCAACCAGCGACGGTTGTACAAGCAAGATGGTTCAGAGTTTCTCGGCATGTGCCCATTTCTGCCAGATTTGTCCGTGCGCGCACGTTTGCATTGAATGAACTCAAGGTCAACAGCTCACCGAGCTTAAGTCTTTCTTCGGCTCATCTGAGGCTTCAGGCTTGGAACCTTGACCTCAGCTTCCCAATCTGCACAACTTCAGATGCGGAGCTCTTCGCTTCACACGTACGGAGGAGAGCGATTCGACACGGTCGCACCGAGAGCTCTCCACATCGGACGAGTTCTCAGGCTGCTGCGGGAAGACAAGGGTGGCAAATTGGGCACCTCAGATGTTCAAGTTCCTCTCAAGCGAGCTGGTTCCACGCCTGATGGCCCTCCATTACTCCATCCACCACAACAAATCCAGTAACCAGCCTTTCAACATACCCTTGTGACATTTCATTCAACTGCGCTCGCAGGGACAGGTCATCTTTTTGTACCCACTGCTCTAGAATTGCAGAAATAGCTGGGAAGGCAGACGTTCTTCAACGTCATTCTTGGTGAAGTCTTGGAACGAGCGCCTCAGAAATGGGATGGACATGCATTCACATCTGTAGCCGAAAGTGACAAATTCAAACAGGCTCACACTGTGAGGATTGCCAGGATTCCCAATGTCCATCCAAATGTGGGATGTAGATGGAAAGGACTCACTGTTGATCAGATTGCCAAGTTGCTTCCCAAGTATATACAGTAGATCCCTAGTATGGTCGGTGCTTTCGAGGCTTCCTCTATTGTTCCCCCGTTTCTCCTTAGCTTCAGAAAAAGCGCTCTCTCAGTTCGCCCTGACGCCGGCTTTTTCTGGCCCTCAAAGAAGGGAAAACGGCGTCACGTGACGGACCGTTCTCCAGGCTTCCACACTTTGAGAGCCGGAAGCAGAAGCTTTGATCGACGAGCCCATCAGAGTCTTCCGCGGTCCTGGGCAACGGAACGCCCCAGGACCACGCCCCAACGCAGAGCAGTTTTGTAGTTACCCATCTTGGAAGCTATAGACTACCTGAATCTACGTGACTATGTGTCCCTTAGTTGAGATCCGTTCGAACCTTGACTTTTAGGGACATTGGTGTGCAAGTTCCTTCAAACATCTTCAAACTTTGTCCTGATCTGAGACGGAACATGATCTGTGCTGAACAAACAAATCCTCTGGGCTTTGTTTGAGGATCTTTGAGGCAGCCAAAAACACACTGGAAATCTTGAGAGGCGGTTGAGAAGGTGGTCTTCGTGGCTCTAAATATCTAGGGATGTCTCACCAATCTGTCCCCTGCAAAGGCATTGGAAAAAGAATCCATCCGCTCAGAGATTAAGAGGCCAACTCCTTTCAGTTGACTGGTCTCTGTCTTGCTTCACCTGCTCACAAACGGGAAAACGTCATTCACCGCACACAGGGTGGGATACTGACGAAACCAGAAGCAGGGCTGCCAATGTCAATCTGCCCTTGTTGCACCTTGTCTTGCATCTGTTGCCGCAGAGCCTGACATCTCACTGGTGGGAGAAGAAGAACAGGAATAGAAGGTTGGTACCAGAGTCTCTTTTGGGACCAAAGGAAAGCCCCCAAGCCTGGAAGCGTTCTTTCTCTTGTTGCTTTTGCTCCTCCAAACTCCTCTTGGCCTCTTCTTCCAAGGCCTGGCATGACTTCTGTGGAAGGGCACATGCACACTAGCTAGATACCTCCAGTCTCCGCCTGCGCCACTGCCACTGCATTGACCCCCTGCAATCAAAAAGGCGAAATGGTCATGATCTTTCATTTCACACCCTCGTCCTTGAAGTACTAATTTGAATCAATAAAGGCCCTGAACCCCTTCAGACAGCAAGCAGGACGCTGATGGAAAGCCAGGTGAATGACGGGTTTTCACGGGAGATTGCACAAGCTGTGTAACAGGTCCACCGGAGTTGTCCAAAATTCCTTTTCACAGCAGCCACTATGCAACAACCCGCACTACCCTCTATCCACCCTGTACTATAGAATCTGTTCCACCATGCATCACTGATCACTATGTGGGTGTGTATTTTAACCAGGAGATCCTCTTGCCCGGTAGACTGGGTAGACTGGTCTATTTCCCATCTTCCAGAGGGTCTTTGGGGGTCTCCCTATTCTAATACACACCCATGTATTGAAAGATTTCTCAAGGTGCGGACCTTCGCATCTTCCACTGGTGGCTGGCCCGCTTGACCTGCAAAAGTCCATGAAGTTCCGGAAGTGATGTCAGTGACCTCACCTGCTATGTCGTTTTTACTTTGTGTTTTTCATGTTTATTGTGTTTCTCTTGTTTTGCAACAAATCATTCTTTTGCTAGAAATCAACTCTTCCATGTCTTGCGTGCTGATTGGGATGGCGTGGACACAAGGAATATGCCACTAAAACATCCAAACTTAAACATCGTCTGTATTATGATAATGGGCTCCTGCGGCTCCTGCGATCTTGCAACTGCAACAGTTCCCTGGTCCTTTCTTCAATCGCTCTAAGTTCCCGGCTGGCGCCAACAGCAACTTGACGTTTGGCCCTGGGACCAAATGATACAACATGATACAACCATGCAAAAGGGCACCCATGTCACCCTAGGCACAACAAATCAGATGGGTCAAATCTTTTGAGTTGGTGGGATGACTGTGGAGCACGACCAGTTGAATCCTGTGGCATTGAAACTAATGGCCAAATCTGCAAAGCTCTACACACACTTGGCTTGCCCTGCACCCACTCCGGACCCGGCAAAGCGCCTCCGAAGCTTGTCGCGATAGCGGGCATTGGCCATGGTCTCCAGCAACTTTCGCTCAAACTCGTCCATGGAAGCATCCCGCTGCTGACGTCGGATAGGGCTTCGCATGGCGACGGCTCGGGTGCGGACGGTGATGGCTCGGTCATGTGAGGACGTGTCGGCACTGCGTGAGTGAGGCGACACGGAGAACCTCCCTTGGTAAAAAGCCATAGATGCCAGTTTGAGATCTTTCGCAAAAAACATCCCATACACATGCTGCTGTAATTTCTCAATATATATACAGTATATAATATAAAGATATTCTATGATACTGATACTCTTGGTTGATAGTGAACCTTTGTGAACCTATAGGGTAAAGGTTGTGAGAGCCATCAAACTCAAAGCAGGACAGCCCCCCCAACATTCCCCAGCAGCCTCGCGCTCCACGTGCACTAGCGGCTTTCCGTCGGAATCTCGCGTGCACTCCACTTTGAAGATCTGCTTCACCTGGGCAAGGGTCTGACAGACACATCTATCTAGAATCTAGACACACCCAAACGTTCCATGTAAGCCTACAGTACAGTCACCCATAAACCCCGTAGATTCAGGTGCTTTCCATGCAGTCCACTTGGTCGTGTCCTCGCAAAACACACCAGCCAGGTGCCAGTGGGGTCTTCTGGCTGGCGGGGTCTTCCAGACTGCCAGTGCATGTGTTTTTTCCTACGGGACAAGTGTGAAAA